ACACACACACACACACACACACACACACACACACACACACACACACACACACCACTTGGGCTGGGAAAACCAGAGAAAACTTCTAACTTGAGGAGTCAAAGTATCTCAGAAGTGCAGAACCTTGTGAGAGGGTCTGTTAGGGTTGAGTGGTCTTGGATGGGGATGGATGGTCTTGGTGGGGCTGCCTTTTTCAGTCTCTGCATCTCAACTGTTCTAATATGTATCTCCCCTTTCCAGGCGTATTTACTCTCTTCTATGTCAGTAACCAGTTTCGGACCTTTCCCTTCTCCATCAAGGACCAGTTCATAATATTCTACAGCGGTGTGAGAGGGGCTGGAAGCTTCTCACTTGCGTTTTTGCTGCCTCTGTCCCTTTTCCCTAGGAAGAAGTTATTTGTTACTGCTACATTAGTAGTTACATACTTTACCGTATTTTTTCAGGTTGGTAGAATTCTTTCATATTTAAAATAAGTACATACTTTAATTGATGTATATTAAATTTGTAGGGTGTAAATAAAGATGTTGTATCTGGTTTTTAGAATTCTGGTTGGTCCTTTAAACAGATTCTAAAATACTTGGAGGCCATGTTCATGGTAAAGCTTTAATTTCTCAAAGTATGTTGCCTTTGCGTCAATACAGTGTATTAATCAAATTATTTGCAGGTGACGAGTGAACAACGGTTACTCTGTTTATCATGGAAAATAAGATGACAACTGGTGCTTTATTAACTGAGGTTTTGCTTTAGCTGAAGTTAGTTCTTATTGAGCTGACAAAAATTTATTTTAAGAGGGCAAGATACTGTATTAAAATAGATTATAATGTCTATTTTGTTGGACTATGTAGAAGAACTAAGAATTAAAGTAAGTTTTGATGCATTTAATACAATAGAAACAAATAGATACATTTTATAGTTTTCATGATAATTTTTTTCTATAGTAACAATGTTCACCCAGAAAACACTTTTATTTTGTTATTATCCAGGGGATCACAATTGGCCCACTGGTCAGGTACCTGGATGTTAGAAAGACCAATAAAAAAGAATCCATCAACGAAGAGCTCCACATCCGTGTAAGTTAACCCCGTCCCTCCTGATGAATAAATAAGATGTTTCACATGTGCCATTTTCACTACCCATGAGAGCCTGCAGAAGACTGTACAGATCAGGAGACTCAGAGCCGCTCTCTTCCAGCTCCTCTAGCAGGGAGACTACTTGCTTACAGCTGCTGCAGGGAATCCACACCATCGTGACCACCGTGGCCACCGTGGCCGCTCTAACAAGGCTTGTGTATTATCTTAGAGCTCTGAAATTAGGAAATGGCTCCCTCCACCAGTGGTGGAGGCTAAAGTTCAGGGCTAGAGTCTCCTCTGGAGGCTCTAGGAAAGTCTCTGCCTCTTTGTCTCAGTCAGCCTCTATAGGCTTCCCACAGTGTTGTGGTCTGAGGGTGGAAACTTGGGTCCTGCACATGGTAGGCAAACATGTGCCTGGGCTGTTTAACTAGAGATTCCTAACACAGTGCTGCCCTGAAGGTCTTCAGCTGGTCTAACCATGTTCCTCAGACTGTCTTCGATCCTCCTTCTTATTTCAAGTCACTAATGATGAGCTGTACTCACACTCAATACAGTCGCAGCAAATTCTAAATTAGCATTTGATTGGATGACTGGGGATCCACCCACTCACATTAACACCTCAGAATGATGTCACACTGACTAACACTCAGTGTGGGCCCAGTGGCTGCTAAATTCAGGGTTTCACAGGAACATGGCTTTCACCGGAACACAGGGTTTCACGGGAACATGGCTTTCACCGGAACACAGGGTTTCACGGAAACATGGCTTTCACTGGAACACGACTCCTGCGTGTCTGTTTGAGTCCGACATGGTATAAACCATGACACTTGGAACGTCTTTCATGAATAGAAACACGAACTAGCGTGTGGATGACATACAGGCACAGATGCATGTACACATCAATGCACACATTCATACATGCACTCAAACACACACCCACGCCCATTATCCACGCCCACATGCATGCACACACACCGTACAAACCAAAATGCTCACCAAAATAGCCATGTACCAGCAATGGCTGGGACGCAAGCCCAGGAATCATAGCTGCTCCAGACACTCAAGCTCACTAGGCTGTTTTGACTAGATCTTTTTGTCGGTTACTTCTACCCCAAAGGGATCATAATTCTGATAACTTCGATGCTGTAGAGATGGGTGAAGTCTTCATATGTTAGTCTTAATTTCATACAAATGGATAGCCAAGGAAATAAAGTCATTTAAATTCCAGTTATTTGAGAATACTTAACTGATTAGGACAAGGAATGTTAAAAATTATGTTAATACCTTAAGCTGATTATGCATTTTTGTCTGTACCTTTATTTTTTCATTTAGAGAAATAAGCAACGTGTCTTTAAATGGAACTTCAACATTTTGCCTCTTAGGTTATTTATTTTTATGTCTTACAAAGTTATGACTAAGGCCAACTCTGATGGTACAAGTCTTAAATCCAGCACTTGAGGATCAGAGGCAGGTGGATCTCTGTGAGTTTGAGGCCAGCCTGATCTACACAGAGAGACACTGTCTCAAAAAATAAGCATGATGACCATTGTTAGAAGACAGTAGACCAATTAAGGGTGTCAATAATAATTTTGTGGTTTTTAGTTTTTTTTCTGAATAAAACAGAAGCCAACATAAAACCACATAATTTTTAATTTGATTATTTATAAGCATTTTAAGATTATATCTTGTCCAAATTCTTATAAATCATTGTGAACAAAACAAAGGTAGTATAATTTACTTGTTTGTTGAACTGTGACTTCCTGGACTAAAGGATTGAATCTTAAACATAAAGATGAAGATCTTATGTTGGTTTATTAGTGTGAAGACCTGATATTTACCCCTTTGCTTCCCTCAAATCTTGTTCTAATGTTCACACTTTACCTGTTTGAAGTGAAAAAATGAAGAATATGGACAAATGTACTTATTATATATAATATTAGAGCATCTGAAGAATCAGATTTTGGAGCTGTAAATTAGAGAAGTGGTTTTCTTTTCACAATGAAAATTAAAATAATAGACGATCATTATAATTTCCTCCCTATGATTTTAGTTGTGAGAACTTTCTATATCCTTCTAGAAACATATTATTCAGACCAAGTGTCAAGTACCCTGATTTTATTGTTTGTGATGGAAATTATCATGAAGTTTTTCTGCAGAGTCTTGTAGTAACAAAGAGAAATTCAGTTACTATGAAAATCATTAGTCTAGTGACATGACCAGAACAGTAGGGAAAAGGGAAATTAGAGCCTTCCTTAGTCTCCAAAGTGCATAGGAGTGTGTGTGGGTGGGTGTGTGTGCACGCGTGTGTACCTTTAGAGTTCATTTTTCACTAACACTTCATCTCCTCTGTTTGGTTTGGCAGCTCATGGATCATTTGAAAGCTGGGATTGAAGATGTATGTGGACAATGGAGTCAGTACCAAGTGAGAGACAAGTAAGCAGGTTAGGGTTTTGATAACTAACAATGACTTTTTGAAGGTGTTATCGTGAGGTATAAGGCCCAGGGAGATGGTAGATCCAGGGGTTATACTCTTCAAGAAAGAGCTCAAATGAGAGCTGTCAGGAGAGAGCTGCAGAGGTGGGACAGGTTGGTTTGAAGAGGAACAGCAAGGCAGTTCTGGGAAGTAGAAAGTCAATTTAAGTTTGAAACCAAAGAAGCTCACCCATGCTATGAGCAGCTTCGGAAGTTGTGAAGGATGTTAGTACTCGTTACCAGCCTGGAGAAGCCCTAGCTGGAGACCACCAATAGTCATTACTAGACAGCAGCTCTTCTGAGATGCCCACAGCCTTCATGCTTACCACACCCCACATTTCTATCCTCTCAAGGAGGGGAACTGTGGCTGGACACAGACGGCAAGTCATCAGCAGGCTGTTAGCTCCTCAGTGGGCATGTGTCAGCTGATATGAAAGGTGAGAAGAGGAAACAGACTGAACGCAGGACTCTGAACTTCCTGTCATGGATCTGAGGAGGAAATGGAAGAGCAGATAAAGCCAGGGAGAAGTGAACAGAGAGGATGGGGGAAAGCATGGGAGAGAGCCAACCTGAGAGGAGTGACCTGGCACATGAAGAGACTAAGCGATCAACAGGGTTAGGCCAATGTCAGCCACAGTAGTTGATAAGTACAAGGTCAAGATGGACTCGGCGAGAGAACTGTCAAGTATATTGTGAAGTTAGTTTTGGGGGAGCTGATTACAGAGGGTTGAGGAAAAATCATAGTGTCCCATGACAAAGGGCAGGAGGTCAAAGGTGACTTACTTGAAAAGAACAGGTGGATCTAAGCCAAAAACGTGACAGAACTTGGGAGGTCAGCCTGCCATACACAGAGAAGATGTAAGTGATGATACCTGTCTATCTCGAGGTCCGGGGAAACAAACAGTATAAAAAGCCAACATTCCAGGAAGCTGTGTTCCCCACGGAACAAAGCAGGCAGAGCACCTACCCTTTGAATGTGAAATAATTGGAAGCATCAGCCATCGTGACTCCACACAGGCGCTGAAGGCACCGCTGCAGGTGTGCCGTAGGCTAAGAGGTTGACCACTTAGTTCCCTACAATAGTCAGCTGCTGTTAGAGTCGGGTCTATTCAGTCTCCCTCATTCACACTTTTAGGATGCGTGGTGGGGAGTGGAGGGGGCTGTTCTCTTCCTTAATTGGCAGGATTCAAAGTGCCCTGCAGCACAGTGCGGCAAAACTACTCAGAATGGCAGCAGGCTAAGCTCACTGGGTTCCGGCTGAGCAGAGCAGCCTTGCTGAGTGCAGCCACTGCTGTTAGGAGCTCGTAGGACGCCATGCTTGTTCACAAGCCTCAGCCGTTTCTTTTCTTGCAGTTGGAGCTGAGTGAGGCTAGGCCACCTCGGCGCCTCTTCTGTGCGCTTTCTGCCATGATTGCACCTTTGTCTCTTCCTTTCTGTATAGTGGATTTTGTTGTATCCAGGCCTCCAGGCCTCCAGGCCTCCAGGCCATTCTTTTTTATTTTTTAAAGAAAATGCTTTGATTTAAAAGGAAAAAAAGTGTTCAACTGTTATGGATTTTAGGCACTTCCTGGATACTTTTCAGATTGGAGTTGTTGTAGTTGTTTAAAGAAAAAAAAAATCTATATTTCTACAATACATACAAAGATGTTGGTTTTAATGTTTAGGTTCAAGAAGTTTGATCAAAGATATTTACGGAAAATTCTAATCCGGAAGAACCTGCCTAAATCAAGCATTGTCTCTTTGTATAAGAAGCTGGAGATGAAACAGGCCATTGAGATGGTAGAGACTGGGATACTGAACTCTGCAGTGTTCCCCACATCCTATCAGTGAGTTCTGTCTGCTTTCTTATTTTATTATTTTTATTTTTCCTAACTTCCACAGGGAGAGGTATTAGCTCTCTGAAATGGCGACTTGGATTTGGCAGATGAATCAATCCTCCTGTGTCACTACAATGAAATATATGAAGCAGGTTTAGTCTGGGCTCAGAGTTCTGAGTTCAAGGCTAAGGTCAAGTCTTTGGGTCTTTGACAACAACCGAGTAGGAGGGACCTTGTTGGAGTGAGGGTGCACATACTTGAGAAGAGAGAGGGGAAGGGATGAAAGTGAGGCTGGAACCCCCTTTGGGATCACACTCCCAATGACCTAAAAGCCTCTCACTAGAGCGTACCACGGGGAGGCCGGCAGGGGGCTAATACTGGCACCCTGGAGACCAAGCTTTTACAGGAGGCCTTCTGAGAAAGGGCTCCCTAAACAGGAGGAGATAAGTGCTATGAGAGGGGTGGCAGCTTTAGAGCTGAGAAGGAGACTTTAAAGTTGAAGAGTCATATGACACTGTGAGATCCATCTTAAATCCAGGAGACCAGCTCAGCATGACCAGAATTCTAGCACGCTGGCTTCCAGGTGCAAAAAAAAAAAAAAAAAATGACACAGAACCCACGAGGAGGCAAGGCCTGAACACGGGCCTTATTTGCTGTGTCTGCCTCCATCTGCTAACAAATTGTCCCAAGAACTGGATGAATATTTTTAAAAGCTATTTTAATTCTCTGGCATTTCACACAAGCTCCTTCATCATTTCAGGATCTAACTCCCAAAGATGCTCAGCTTTCTCTAAGCAGTGACTTATGGGTTGCAAAAACTAGTCACAGAATACATTTAGGGAAGGAGACAACAGGCCCTCAGACGGTCCTGTCGTCAGCTAATGACACTTGATCATGAGCTTCAGTTACATCCTCACCTCAGGGAAGCGGGTTGAGAACAGAGCCAAGGCTAGGTGCCAGTGAAATTGTCACAGCCTGCCTGAGTGCTAGCTCACCGGTAACACCTTCCCCGTCACCCGCTAATGAATCAGAAACACAGCTCTTCTCACATGCCTCGGGAAAGATGTAAACAATTGTCTGCAGAGGCACCCCAGTCTACACAGAGAGCTTTCTGCCTTAGTTGCCGGTGGATTGTGTTTTTGTGACTTGTTTTGTTTGTTTTGTGCTCCCCATTACGTAACTAAAAGGAGGCGCCTGATGTTCAAATGGGAATGTGCTACCAAATATTTATTGGCAATGCGGCCAGAGTCTCAGTGGAGCCAGAAGTGACTGGAAAACCCATGATTGCTAATTCTGTTTTCATTCAACAGTTGCTATTTTATCCATTGAAGTTTCTCTCTCTGTCTGTCTCTCTCTGTCTCTCTCTCTGTCTGTCTGTCTTGTGTGTGTGTGTGTGTTTCATTTCACTTTTTAAAGCAGTGCGCTCACCTCTCGCCTGTGACCAGGGTGTCAGGCTCCTTTGTGACTTAGCACATGCTCTGCTTGTGCTGAGCCCTGTAAAGACTGACAGCTGCCCCCCACCCCACGCACGGACAAGGCACACTGTTAATAGTGATCTCACAGAGCCGTGTAACAGACTAGGAATCAGTGCGACTCTGGGAGCAGCCTGTCCCGTGACCTCCTGGGTGCCTACTCTTCAAAGGATGGACAGCGGTAGGTAAAGCAAAGGCAGAGGAAGACTCGACAGTTCCAGACAGACCAAACCACCAGAAACTTCCTCCACCAGCCGCTCCCTGCTCCTGTGAGCACTCGGTCTAGGAATGCCAGGGTGCTGATCGCCTATCTCAGACCAGAATCTCAGCTGCGTTTCAGTCTATTGGGCCTAAACCCATTTTGAACTTCGTATAACATCAATGCCTCAGCCATAAGCAACTGCGTCAGTTCTGACCACAAGGCAATGTTTAAACCAGTTTTGTTTGGCACACTCCTCCTCACTTTCAGTCAATCATTTCTTCAGACATTGGTTTAGGATTTACTAAGCATCTCACAGGTAAGAGCTTCTCCACCTCACAAAGCCCAGTCAAGTAAGTTAACTGGACTGAGAATGATTTTGTGAAAGTTGATGTTTGATACAATTTCAGTTTAACTTACATTTATTTGATCTCCCTAGAAATATGTAGGACACCAAGAATAAAGGAATTCCTCTCCCAAGATCAAAGCAGCCAATTTCTAAGGCAGAACAAAACAAATGAAAACAAAGAAAGCACGAACCAAACTTCACACAATAATAGGAAGGAGGATTGTGTACTCAGCCGCCTCTTAGCAGCCAGTCTGAGGTGAAAACAACCAAATGGACATATATTTTTGCATTATCGGTTTAAGCAATTCTTACACACCAGTTTAACTTCAACGTTTGGGACCTTGAGGAGCAGGCTGGTGCGGCTTGGAGGAGGCTGGTTCTGTAGAACCCCGCTGCTAATCATGACATACTATCTCACAGTAGTCCTTCTCTGAATCCCCACGCTCCCCTATGGGAGAGCTGGAAAACACATTTCTATTGTTTTTTCCAACACAGAGCCGTTCATCTCCCACAGGCTGGTAAGCTGTTAGAACTTACCGAACGACAGTGACTCAGGGTGAAGCTTACAGGCCTGCAGGGTGGCTCTGTGGGTCTGGGCACTTGCTGCGAAGCCCAACAACCTGAGCTTGATCCTCTGGACCCGTAGGGTAAAAGGAGAGGACCCACCCTTACAAACTGTCTCCTGAGCTCTAATGTGTGCTGTGGCACAGGTGCACCAAACACTTACACCCCCCCCCACATACACACAATAGACAGAGAAACATAATACAGTTTTCTTTCTACAGTTCCTACCTAGCATGCATGAAGCCCTGAGTTTGATTCCTGGCACCACATACACTGAGTGTGGGTAATCTTAGCACGTGGATAGTGGAGGCAGGAAGAGCAGAATTTCAAAGCCACCTGAGATACACAAAACCTTATCTCCGATAGCTAGATTGATTTTATAGACATCACTATTACAGTTGTTAAGCCATAAAATTATTGGATAATTATTTTATCCAATAATTATCCAATTATTGGATACCAATTATCCAATTATTGGACTGGCTACCACTTTATAATCTCAAATTATTTTATTTGTAAATTCTCAAGAGCTTGAGCAGGTCATGCTCATCTTTTTTTTATTATTATGTGTGTGTGTGAGTGTGTGTGTGTGTGTGTGTGTGTGTGTGCGCGCAATGCCCATGGAGACCAGCGGAGTCTGATCCTCCAGAGCTTATGTGAGTGATGGGAGCAGAATTCAGGTTTCCTGAAAAAGTGGGATATTCTCTTAACAGCCGAGTCCTCTCTCCAGTTTGTTTGCTTTTAAATAATTAGGTAAATTCATTGTAGTTTAAAAATTCTTTTAATCAATCTCACATTGATGGTGTTAAATTTGTATATCAGCATTCTGACAAACAACTATGCAATGTACCTTTCTGATGTAAATTCCATGATCAAGTGTTGTGTATCCTTTTAGCCACACTTCACTCATGATAGAGTTGGACATTGAGGGGCCTTTAATAAAGATGCAAGACAGCCATGCAGACAGTCACTGTTGAACCTGCATGCAGCCATGCAGACAGTCACTGATGAGGAACCTGCATGCAGCCATGCAGAATCACTGATGAGGAACCTGCATGC